TAAATAGATAGATAAACACATTTTGAGAATGACATTATTAGACAACAAGATTTAACGCTGACTTTACCTCTTGTTGCTATCATCGTCTTCCCAACACTTTGTTTTGGTCGAGGAATTTATTTTAGATGAATTTGATTCCACATCAAGTGACCAAACAGATAATTCAGGAAACTTCATGTTTATTAATGATGATTATGATCTATTTAGTAGGCCATCTGAATATTGTCTGTCACGAATAGAAAAGCTTGATTTTTATTATAACATGATTCAACAATAGGAGCAACGCAATAAAATGAAAATCTTCTGGCTTCTTTTATTTTATAACTAGATGCAATTCTGATTTTTTTTTAAATTAAAACTAGTCTTCAACAGAAGAAAGAAATCAAACAAAACAATTGTTTGTCCGAAAAATAATAATAGCATTTTTTAGTTTGCTTGTTTTTGCTTTCTCCAGCATCGTATACCTCTACGTAGAAGAGAGATTGAAATATATTTACATAATAAATATCGCCCAATCGTCATTCTCTTGTACAATCAAACATGTTTTAATTTTTCAGTTGAGAGAAATCAGAACTATGCTATTGACATAGAGAAATCCCACGTTTCGTTGTGACGCCCAAAGAAACTCATCTTTTCAATCAGTTGGAAACCTGTTGGGCGACAGATTTTTTCTTTCGTTAACAATTCAAGATTTATTCTTCTCTTTCATCAAAACACAGTTTTAGTTGAAACATCAACTCACAACTCATAATCTCTAGGTAGTCAATAGTGAAAGTATGTTCGATGAAAGCTTGGATTCGTACGACATAGTTTCATCTTCACTTATAGAAAAATTGAGCCTAATCAAATGAAATCTTCTGTAGAGAAATCATTTGAAAATACTTCAAACGACTACTTTCATTCTTTGAAATTTAAGTAAAAAGCAGAATAATGTAGACTCGGAACATATTCAACATGGGGCTCATACATGTAGGCAATCTCAGTAGTAATTATGTTACAGATAAATTGAATGTAATTTCAGTCAAGAAAAATGGATAAATATTTTTTTGAGCCCGCAATTAGACAGATTTGAGCCCGATGAAATTCGTCCGGGCTCAAAAAAATGTTATGTGTCTGTTGAGCCCGGCTATCCGTTGTTTTGAGCCCGGCCATAAGATATTGTGTAGATGGCACGTGCATGATAAATTTCATCAATACGATAGATTATCATGATGCGTAACTTGTGTACATTCAGTATTTTTTGAATTTCTTACACGTTTGTTATTGTATTTCTTAAACATTTCACTATGCCCAACCGAACGTGGAATATTGTCGACAAATTTTTCAGTGAAAATGAATTTCAATCCTTTATCGTACAAAATGCTGTATCTATAAAACGTACAGAAGAAATTGAAGCTGGAAAGAAGGTCATATATCGATGTTCAAAGTACAGAAAATATCCTGAGTGCGATTTTCAAGTCAAAGTTATTTTTTCTTATGATGGTGGAATAACAGTTTCAACATCCAATGAACATAATCATGCTCATCGTACATCAACAACACGAGCACCATCACCAGTTAGAGAAATTGTTATAAATTCTGTTGCAGCTGGTCTTTCTTACATTCAAACACATCGAGCTATTGAACATCAATATGAAGGTGTTGTTTCACGTTCACAATTATGTAGTTTATTAAATTACCATCGATCACTAAAATTACCCGATGTAAATTTTGTCGATGATTTTTTTCTGTTATATAAAATTATGTTATTTTTTTTGAACTAAATAAACTATAGCAGGTTCAGAACAATGGATAATCGGGCTCATTTCATATTTCGAAGTCAAAAGACACAAAACATTTTTTTTTGAGCCCGAACTAATTTCATCGGGCTCAAATGTTTCTAATTGCGGGCTCAGAAAAATTCTTGTCCAAGAAAAATTCAATCGAGACAAAGTATTGCCAGTTAGACAACAGAAGATAAAATAAAGATGAGTGAACCAATTGAGAATGAACTGTGATATTCAATGAGAAAATGAATTTCATTACTGATGGAATAAATGCCGAATAAAAATCTATATGAATTGGAGGAATGTGGTTGTAGATGTACGTTTCTCTGTGCCAGTGTAGACGAGAAATATCACACTCACATTCACATCTGACAAAGATAGAGTAGTATTTCTTATCTTTGAATCTGTGTTGAAATGTGATGAGATCACAGAAGGAACTACATTATGACTGTTTCAGGAAGAACCTTTGCTCAAGGAGTAGCAATATTAAGGGCAACTAAAAACTATACATATATTTATACATGCATCAAGTCTATAATTGATTATAATAAACTTCGATCTAGAGAAAAGCCTTAAAAATCTATTTGAACTTTTTCAATAATAATTTGTTTCGCGATCGAAGCTCGCAGCAAGTCAATCGAATTCTATCGAAAACATTCAAATTCTCCATATATGATTACGATGCGGTAAAAATCGTCTAATTTCCACTTTCCAAAGATTACAAGTATTCGAACATTTATCCTTGTACATTTTTATGATTGATTTATGCCAACATCAGGGCAATAGTTTTTGCATTTAGGCATATTTTCAATGAAATTTTAAAAATATATTACAATCCATCTGAAATTTGAACAGAGACGCCTTTAACATTTTGCATGATCATCTTAGAAGAGATAAGTAAACAAACTTTTATTAAGAGTTTGAAATAATTAATGTCTTTGATGCATAGTAAGAACTTGAATTTGAATTAACAATGATTGCAAACATGTGAATTAGGCACAGAAAGAAGAACATTTAGAAGCAGCAAAGAACTTTTTTCTTATGTAACTGATAGCGAACTGTAGAATTTTATTTTATCTTGTTGTTTATGACGGTGTTGACAAGAAAGTCTTGAAGAAGAAGTCTTCATTCTTGTTGACTAGAAAGATAGAGATCTTTTTATCTCGCCAAGGTATAGGACGTACAAGTTGCAAAAGATAACGGCATTCATTCAAACTATATTCCTTTACTTGTTATTTGATCAACATTTTCCTGCATTCGATATTGATTAATTTTTAAACTACTTAGTTGTTTAACACTCATGGCTGATAGACCAGTTGATACATCGGCTGATCAATTAGATTCCAAGAGTACAATTATACGAACATCAACGCCGAAGTCCGAGAAATTTGATATTGATGACTCTACTGTAGTAACAGTAAAGAGTCGCAAGTTCGTATAACGAAACTAAAAAAAACCTGTTGTCATAGATTATTCTTCATATAGAAAACTAAATCCTCTAGTCATAGCTGTCATTGCTTTACTTGTGATCGCGGTTATAGCTACCGCCGTGGCTGTCCCAATCGTTCTCTTAACTCGTCCGACAACAACATCCACAACTGTTTCCGAGTCCACTAATTCGTCTACCATACCATCAACGACAGATGTCACTTCGACAATTGCAGAAACAACAATAAACGACGCTACAACAGTCACTACTACTCTAGCAGAGCTGACGGGTGAGCTTTGAGCACAAAAGAATCTTTTTTATCTATCTCTTTTTTGGCAACAGTCACTCACGCATAGAAGGTGTAGGTGAACGGAAGATTCACACCTACACCCAAGCTCTTTTCAAGAATTGATCTGATATTCTGAAGATTATTAAAATTTGAACTACTTTTATGTAGAAACTTTAATCGTATATAGCTTCATTTCTCAGTAAGTTGCTAAATCTCCAGCACCACTAAACAAAATTCAATTTTTCTAAAATTCCGTAACGTCTGATATTTTTTGAATAGCTTAGGTCAAGTTAAAAAAGAAAACTGGTAAAATTTTTAATCATAATAATTAGATCCTAAATGATTTTTACCTATAATAAAAGTTTCACGAAATTTGCTTTTCCCATTGATGAGAAGTAAATGATACAATGTAAAACACAATGAGATTTAGTAATGCTTGTTCACACCGTGATGTCAACTATCAATATTAAGCTTTGCAAAGTATACAAATCATTGTAAATGAATTCTTTTTAAAATCTTTCTGTTGATTTGAGTTAATTTGAGGAGTATTCTCACATCAATGTTTTATAGTCAGCACTGTGACATCAACACCAACCAATAGATGCATAATTGAAGGAATGTTGTCCTGTATTGCACACATTTTCTTAGTAGCCAAGTTTTCTAGTTTTTATGATGATTCCTATGTAACTGCTTGTTCTCTGTAGGCAAGAAGCGACCAAAAATCTTAGAAAAAAATTGGGAAACGTTCTAACTAGAGATGCTGTATGCAAGTTCCATCGATTTTGTGTGTTTTGCGGTACTATTTTGAAGCATGAAATCATCAACATGTGTTCATACAATTGAATACACTTCGTTATCAAAGAAATATCATAAGTAATAGTATTCAAGAATTCTGCCAAAGAAATTCCTCATTTGCTGAATAATTGTTACAGATACTACGATGATTTATTGGAAAATCGAAGATAAACCATAAACTATTTCACAGTTCCATTATCTCATATAATTCGAGTAATACATTTCTAAAGCACTTTGTGAAATGATGAATTCATTTCTACAGAGGATTTCGCTCATCAAGATATGAGTATGACATATTTCTTGGATAATGTGCTATTTTGAATTTAGGAATAGAGGAACTATAATGAAATCGAGAAGAACTTCTAATTTTTCGGTACACTCTATATTGCTTGATTATAGTTGCCTGAGTTTGTACACAATGGAAAAAAACGATTAATCCATATGAGCGATAGAATAATTGACTCAAAGTGAAAATTTTTATCAACCATCTCTATAAACAGTACGTGAAAGACAATACAAAACTAGCACGGCTTTTCCTGCCATAGAATGACTCATTTTGTGCACAAAATTGAAATTCACTTTTATTCGATAGAGTGTTCAAAATTTTTGTACTTAAACTAACAAATAATATTCATGTGACACTATAATAAAACACTTCATTTAACTGCAGAGGACTTCGAGTGTTCAATGGTACTTTATTTTTCAGTATGAATATATTTAAATGGTTCCTCTAGGATGGCGTAACACTGGTAATATGAATACTGCACGATATCATCATACCGCATCCGTATTAAGAAATGGAAAAGTGTTAGTTACTGGTGGAGATAATGTTAGTTCTTCTTTTAGTAGTACTGAGTTATATGATCCATCAACAGAAAATTGGACAATGACTGATACTATGAATGATGCACGACGAGACCACACAGCATCCGTATTAGAAGATGGACAAGTATTAGTTGCTGGTGGAAAGAATGATTCTTTTGAATTAGATAGTGCTGAATTATATAATTCATCAGCAGGAACTTGGAAAGCGACTGGTACTATGAATGATGCACGATATTGGCATGCAGCATCCATATTAAGAAATGGTCAAGTGTTAGTTACTGGTGGATATAATGGTAATTCTTCGCTCGATAGTGCTGAGTTGTATGATCCGTCAACAGAAACTTGGACAATAACTGGTAGTATGAATTATGCTCGATATTATCACACAGCATCCGTATTAAAAAATGGTCTAGTGTTAGTTACTGGTGGCACTAATGGTACTTTTACTCTAAATAGTGTTGAATTGTATGATCCATCCACGGGAAATTGGACAGACACAGGTAACATGAATATTGCACGACATTGGCACACAACATCTGTATTAAACAATGGAAAAGTGTTAGTTGCTGGTGGATATAATGGTAGTTCTTATTTAAATAGCGCTGAATTGTATAATGCATCAACCGAAACCTGGACACTAACTGGTACAATGAATAGTGCACGATATAACCGAAAAGCATCCTTATTAAACAATGGAAAAGTTTTAGTCACTGGTGGAGTGGGTATGGAGAATATCGCAAATAGTGCTGAGTTGTATGATCCATCATCAGGAAGTTGGACACCAACTGAAAATATGAAGGGTGCACGATTTTGGCATACTGAATCCATATTAACAAATGGAAAAGTGTTAGTTACTGGTGGATATTTCCTTAATGTTTTGAATAGTTCAGAATTATATTATTTATCTCCAACAAATGAATAATGAGTAATTTTATGTTTACAAGTATATGCAATTTAGCATTCAAAGACTAGTATGATGAAGAAAACTATTGGAAGTATATGACAATGAATAGTTTCCTCCGATGATTTTTTTGCGCTTGTGATTCATTTGAGAGTTCATTTGAAAATATAAATATATTTTTCAAATTTCTATGTTGATGTATTAAGCTTATTTTGATGAAGAAGTTTCAGTTCATATGATAATTGCGCACTTCTCAAAGTATTGCATTATATTTCCAATTCATCTTTCGTTCAAAAATTCGATCTCTTTTTTATATCAACAATTAATATCCTATCAATACTTTGAGCTACATTGGTAGATTGAACTTTGGCTTTGTATATGTAAATTTTGAAACGTTCTCCTTACCTATTCAAGAAAAATTACGGTTTCTTGTCCTTAATTGTGTCTAATAGCATGTTATGTTGTTCAATTCGAATAAGTAAATTTTCATTCAGTTCTGTTATATGCCGGAATTAGTGTTGCTAAAATAGAGAAGAGAAAATCATCTGATAGATATTTGAGATAGGATACGTGCAGAAATACAGAAGTTTTCTCTTCGTCTCACTGATGTTCTATAGACATATAAGATATAACACAAAATGTAAGTCATTTGATCGTTGAAAGTGAGAAAAATAAAATACTACTATTTACTTGAAAGAGATTTTTCTTGCCCTATTGGTAGTATTCTATTTTTTAGAATTTAATAGTGAGTTACATCAAAATTCATCGACAGATTTCAAATTTCATCTAAAAATATGCATCCATTCAAGAGTTACAACTGTTTGGATGTTCGCTAAAATTTTAGCAGCATGTAGCAAAAATTCAAAAAGTTATAACTCTTGAATGGATGTATATGTTTGGATGAAATTTTAAATTTGTCGATGAATTTTGATGCAGCTTACTATTGAGTTCTAAAACATAGAATACAATTAACAGCAAAAGAAAACTCTTGGAAGAGCTCAGGAAAATGCTAATTTTTTTTCACAAACTCTCATTGCAAAAACCTTTCGATAAAAACTCATCTTTTGAGTCCAATGCCATACCTCTACAAATTTCATCTGAATCCCATGGACTGAAGATGAAATGCAGCATACTGAAAAATCCTGGATTTGCCACTATCTTCAAAACCAAAAAAAAGTCAAATATCGTAGATTTATCATATATAAACTGGAAACAAAATCTTGTTGAACTTCATGATTATGATGCTCTCTTGCAAGATATTGTTTACATGGAAATATGGGTGTAGGTATGGACATAGTGCGTATGGGCATGGAAGTGTGCATGTGGATGACTAGATGTGAGTGTGAGTGTGCATGAACAGGAGATCGACATCTACACCCACACCTTTTGCCGTCAGAGTTACACTGATTGTATGCATGACAGTGCATTACCTCAATGCGGCATAAGTCTTTTATTCTTTTCTTTCATTAAGTTCATTATTTTTCTACAGTGCGATGAAAAATTCTGGATAGTAGTGTGAAGCTAATATTCATATCCAAAGATTGCTGATTCTCGTGTATTAATTTAAAAAACTATTTTAGTTCACAAATGTATGAATTAGTGTTAGTTCATACAAATATCAACTCTAATGTGGCACCTCTGATTATCTGAGAAACAGCTTCTGATGTATGGTCTACTCTTGATACGGTGAAACTATTGCTAGTCGAACTCGAATCGAATCGCATACGAACCGATTTTTCACAGACGACCCAAACCGAACTCGGACCATTGTTTGAAAAGTGAAGTCAAACCAAACCGAACTCGAACCAATTTTTTAAGAGTAAATCCGAATCGAACCGAACTTGATCAAGAAAAAACCGGTTCGATTCGGTCTCTGGTGTGGGCGTGCGTATGGGTGGATGGATGAGGACATAGGTGTGAGCATGAGGTTGTGCCTGTCGCTGTGAATGTAAGTGGGGGAAGGTGGGTGTGGGAGTGTATGCTTACACATGTGGGTGGGTCAGGATTTGAATTCGCATCTTCTTTTCACTCGCATTCACTTATTTGTTTGACAAAATTATAATATGTAAAGCCTTCTTGTCAACATTCTTCCTCCCCTCTCCCCTCATGTCTGCCCAACAGTCACGCAGTGGGGAGCCAGGTGGGCATATGCGAAAATATTCTTTTCCAGAATGTAACCGTTTACGTAGATACCTACATATGTGATCCATCATTTCCTAAAATGACAGTTCTCAAATTTTTACAGAGCTCTAGAAAAGAGCCTGACAAGACTTGGGCTCAGAAATCGGCATAAATAAAGTCAAGCCGCTTGGCAATATAATACAATATTCCACAAGCAAACACTATCGTAAAAAAACTTGCTCACCTATGAAATTTATATTAAAAAGAAATTATCGTAATCCAATTAAAAATAGAGTAGAAAACTAAGGATTTTAAGCCTCAAAACCTATCTGAAAACGTATCGTTCCGCATATTGTAAACGCTACGAAGGAGTAATGTCCGATCGAGCGCGCATTTTTACTACATGCTCCTACATATGTATCCTACTTATGGCGTATGCAAAATCTCATAAAACGTTTCCTAGGCTATTTTACAGGGTGCCCAAAAACTCGAGGTCTCTGAGAAGAAATCCAGCTTTAAACAGTCGCGTTATACTTTGAAGAAAAACCAAGGTGATATTGGGAATCAGCTTGTCAAGCTGCATCGAACAATATATATTTAATAGTTTTTCAAAAAACTTTCGACTCACTTTTCCCAATTAGCTGGGTTCGAAACCAGGGTTGCCAGATCATCCGAATTTTTCGGAAATTTCCGAATTCGGAAGTTTTTTCCGACTGCTTTCCGACCTTCCGAATTTATCCGAATTTTTGAGAATTTTCCGAAATTTTCCGAATCGTATTATTTTTAAAAATTTTCTTGTTATTATATTTTCTGTTGAAAATTTCGAAAGATTTCATATTGCGGCATGTTTATTTTGATCATTCTACAATGTATGTTATTCCGATGAATACGAAGAGAATGGAGAGAAAATACAATACGTTATCATATGAATCAATAGTATCCCTTAAAAAAACTTAATCTGAACGTAAAATCACTTCCAGAATCAGTTTTTATCGGGCTAAAACGTGATGAAGTCGTCATCGCTGCGGCTTTAGATCGTGCATAACCTAGTCTGAAGCTACGGAGCTCTGGAGAAACACTCTTGAGATATCAGAATTTTATTATTATCATATCAACTGAAGAGTGATAAAATGTGGTAAAATTATAGAGCATGATATGGGCTACCACTATCTATAGAAAGAAAATTTCTTCGAGCCTTTCATAAGTAAAAGTGTCAGCGTCACTACTTTTGGTATGCCCTAAGTAATTCTAATTATGATGAGGTATTATATAATATACCTGCAGAGAAAATAATCAAGTTTAGAAAGCCTTTTTACCTGAAAAACTCAAATATAAATGTCAAAAAGCTTGAAAATCGCTTTCCGAATTTTTTTCCGAATTGAACAGGTGATTTTTTCGGAATTTTCCGAATTCGAGCTAAAGAATTCCGATTTCTAAGATTTTGATCTGGCAACCCTGGTTCGAAACCATACCGTTTTGTATATTCTAAACGCTACAAAAGAATAACGTCCGTTCGAGCTCAAATTTTTATCAAATGCTCCTAGATATATAAACTACTTATGGTAGATGGAAAAAACTCATGAAACCTTTCCTAGGCTATTTTGCAGAATGTCCAAAAACCCAAGGTTTCTAGTCTGATATTCGGTTTTAGGCATACATGTTACACTTTGAAGAAAAACGAAGGTGATATTCGGAATCAGCGCATTGAACTACATCGTATGACATGTAGCTCAACATATTTTAAAAAAATGCTTTTGAGAAAAATGGATGAGGTCCCCCAGCCACATTTTTTTGAAAACATTTTTTCTTGAAAAACCCTTTTATCTTCTTAGAAACGATTTTCTGAGTGGTATACTGTCATCTCTAGTCAAATGAAAGACAATTACGAGAAAAAATCGCATGTTCGCCAGTTTATGCTAACGCTCCACTGTGATATGCGGGGTAAGCATGGTAGCAAAGCATATAAACCATCATTGACTGTAACAGACTGACCAGAAGCATAAAACGGCGTGAGAGCGATATTATTTCTCTCCTTTTTTATATTTTTTTTCCAAAGATCCTTTTAGTAATTTCAATACTTTCGTTGGATTTATGAATAGCTTCAGTCACCAAATGCAAATTCTTTATGAGCTGTTTTTTGAGATATTATTGCTTAACCTCACGTTCAAGTGTATGATTCATGTAAGGATCAATAGCTTCATCATCTTTCACATTTCAATCCTGACGGTATTGCACTAAGATCTTTTTATGTATTCGAATGAATTTTTGTGGATTTCATAGGATTTCCTAGCCTATGAGAAAGTTTGTTTGGCAGCTGTGACCCTTGCATTGCTGTGCATGCCTAATATAAAAGTAT